CCTCACCTCCGCCGCCCCCCGCCGACCTCCCGCCCGCTTCCGCGGGCGGGGCCCGGCGCCGCGTCCGCTGCCGCGGGCCCTCTCCCCCGCCGGCCCCGCGGCCGGCCTCCCGCCGGGCGGCGGGGCCCCGCCGTGGAGCGCCGCGGGTGGTCTCGGGGCCCGTGGCTGGAGACCGTCGGGGCCTCGTGCGTGCCAGAATGCGCCCTGGGCGTCTTTTTCTCGCGGTACGTCTTCACCTCGGCGTCTTGGGAGTCCCTTGGCTTCTTAGCAGCTGCCTAGGCCCCGACAGCAACGAAGCTGGCAGCGCAAAAACACAATGTCTGCTGCTTTCTGCTGTGTTGCGTGTTTTGCTTCGTTTCTTTTTTTCAGCGTCTTCAGATGGGTTGCTTGCGTTGAATAACATTACCGTCTATGACACTCGGTTCCTTCTCCTTGCGTCGAGTCCTCCCTATAGTATTATTACTATTCTTTTCGCTCGTCTACGACCGCCTCTGCCAAATCCCCTGCAAACGGGGCGTTAGTAAACGGGCCAGTAGCTAAGGGTGCGTTTTCAATGGTGTTTTCAAAAAGCTGATTTGCCACGCAGATGTGCGAGGTAAACTCGGCCGCCCAAAGTTATGATGATGTATCGACGTTTCGCCGTCCCGATGTATCACGCACTAGTGCGAGGTAAATGCCCTGTCGCCCCGTTTCCGCTTGAAGAGGCCCCTTAGCTACCGCCCCGCTTACTCACACCCCGCTTGCAGGGGCTTGGTCTGCTGGCTGGTCGCGGGGCCTCCGGACCTGGTTCGCGCCGGTGAAAAGCCGGTGTTCGGTTGGTTGTGTTGTGTGTTTACATCTGCGGGCGGAGCTGGAGGAACGGCAAGCAGCAGGGACGGGAGAGCGGGAGCGAAGACGGCAGGGAAGGCAAGGAACCAATCATGATCCGGAGCGACGGGCCTAAAAGCGCTCAAGCAAACTACCTTCAACATGATTGAACATCGTAATGTTGCTTTCGCATTGGTAGCCCGTCAAGATCTCAAAGCACCAACCGGTAAAGCAGCGCGCAGGGAATGCTTAAGGTGAGCTAAGCTCTTGAGGGTCTCTTGGGCCGCCCTGAAGGCACTCGGTGTCCGCTGTAGATGCCCAGATCGTAGAAGAACGCACGTGGCTGTTGCATGAGCTTCGCATGCGTGCCTTTTCGGTCCGAAGGGCCCTCCAAGACGGCCAAGGTTGCCTCCAAGACGATGAAGAAGGCCCCAAGGGAGCCCAATATGGCCCTAAGATGTCTCCAAGACGGGCTGAGATGCCCCCAAGATGGACCAAGATGGCCTCAAGATCGCCCAAGACGGCCCCCAAGAGGCCTCCAAGAGGACCTCCAGGACGGCGATGTCAAATTCCTTGATTTTCAAATGGTTCTTAAAGAATATTGGCATTTGCTTCCCGGCTTTGCGACGGCCCAAGACAGCCCCAAAGGCCACCAAGATGGTCCCAAGAGCGCCAAAGAGGCCTCCGCAAGAGGGCCACAAGACTGCACAGGAAACCTCCAGGACCCCAAGATGGCCTCCAAGACGGTCCCGAAGCGCCCTAAGAAGGCCCCCAAATCGGCCCAGAGAGGCCCCCAAGACGGCTTCCGTCGGCGTCAGACGGGCCAGGAACGCCCTCAGACGAGAGAGCCGCAGAACGGCACAACAGGGGTCCAAAATGGCCCTAAGAGAGCCCATGGCGGCCCAAGATGGCCCCAAGACACCCTCCGAAGCATTCCAAATCGCGACCAGGGCGTTCAGAGAGACTGCGGTTAGAGGCAGGTTGGCCTTAGGAAGCCCCAGAGGCACCCAGAACACGCCCAGGAGGCCTCCAGAAGGCTTTAAGAAAGCCTGAGAGCTTTGGTGAGGCCGCCAGGGGCTCTCCAAGGAGGAGCCTCCGCAAAAAAGAGCTGAGGAGGATGGGGAGAATACCCACGGTATGGCGAGAATGAGGACAAATAAGCATGGAGGAGGGATAACGAACAACATTATTATAACGGCGATGTCAGAAAAGGCACCAAAGGAGTTATCGCACAATTGTCCGCTTGACCTTCCTGCCATTTCCGCCTGCATACCAATCTTCAAGGACCAAGGTGCGTGGCGCGAAGCGCCACTGCAGTCTTGTACATATGTATATAGATATGTAAAGAAATGTGCGAGCCCCGGGGAAGACAATTCCACTGAAAAACACAGTGTGCCCTGGCGGGGGAACAACAATATTTATTATGCAATCAGCCATGTTGAGACTGTTCGCTCCGATCTGCTCACGTGCTAAACAATACGTTTACCCCAAACCCTCGGTAACCGCCCTCGTCGTCTTCAATCGTACCCCCTTGGGGGTATATCTTCCTTACTTGCCACGTGTATTTAGCGCAGTCCCTAAAACAAGGGAAGAGCGGACGGGTGGAAGGGGGAGGGAGAACAATGGAGCACGAGAAAAATTAGCAGGAGGGAGGCAAAGAGCAGAAAACAAGTGGTATAACCAGACGGGGAGATCGGGTGGGCAGACCCATAGCGGGCAGGTCGGGAAGGCGGGCCCAGGCGACGAGATCGAGCAGGCGGGTTGCTGAAGCGTGGGTCCTGCATGAATCGCGAGGAAGTCTCGAGCGATGGCGCGATTCCCAAGTAAATCGTAAGAAAAAGCCAGCGTGGGCCACGACGGTGGGCCACGAAGGGCATAAAATCCGAGGCCACAGAGGGCAGCGACGGGGCCGCTGAGGGCAGCAAAGGGGCCACGAAGGGTAGCGAGGGGGCCACAAAGGGCGACAGCGGGGCCACGAAGGGCATACATGTGGGGCCACGACGGGCGCGAGCGAGCGGGGGCCACGAAGGGCATTCGTGTACGGGGCCACAAAGGCGACAGCGGGGCCACTGAGGGCAGCAAAGGGGCCATGAAGGGCAGCAAGGGGACCACGAAGGGCGACAGCGGGGCTACGAAGGGCTTGCGTATGGGGCCACGACGGGCGCGTGCGAGCGGGGGCCACGAAGGGCATATAATGCGGGGCCACAGAGGGCAGCAACGGAGCCACTGAGGGCAGCAATGGGGCCACGAAGGGCAGCGAGCGAAGGCGACCGCGGAATCAGTACGGGCAGCAAGGGGCATCGAAGGCGGGCGAAGGGCAGCGAGCGGCGACTGCAGTCATTAACGGGCTGGTCGGGCGGGCAGGACCCGACGGGTGGGTCGAGCGGTCGGGTCGTTGAAGCGTGAGCCCTGCTTGAACCGCCAGGCAATATGTAGCGGGAGCGCAATTCCTGAGTGTCGAGGACCTGCATCTTAATAAACTGTCAGGAAATATCAAGCGAAGCGGTTCGGTGGTAAGTTGCGAGGAAGTCCCAAGCGAGAACGCGATTCTGCAATACATTGTCAAGAAGTATCAAGCGGGAGCCGCGATTCGGTGGTAAATTGCCTGGAAGTCCCAAACGAGAGCGCGATTCTTCACTACATTGTGAGGAAATGTCAGGCTGGAGCCGTTGTTGCTGTAAACCGGGGGCCAACGACACAGTTTGAGCCTCAAGACTTTCCCTAATCTAACACCAGGTGCGAGCCCCGGGAGGTGCACCGGGCGGGGGGGGGATCAACAATACTTATTTTTCAAAAATGAGAATTCAGAAACAGCAACAACAACACAAACAATCATTTTGAGACTGCTCGATTTCATCGGCGCACGTGCAATCCAACACGTATACCCCAAACCCTCGATACCCGCTCTCTTCGTCTTTGGTCGTGCCCCCTTGGAGGTATCTCTTTCTTGCCTGCAACGTGTATTTCATGCAGCCCCTAAGGCAGGGGAAGAAAGGTCGGATGGAAGGAAGGGGCAAGGGGGAGGGAAGAGGATGATGCACGTGAGACAGTGTAGCAGGAGGGGGGCTAAGAACAGAAAACACGTGTCAGAACCAGACGTGGCGGGTCGCAGGTGGGTCGCGAGTGGGCCGCGGTGGGTCGCGGGTAGGTCGCGGGCCGGGCCGCGGGTGGGACGACGACAACAACCAGCGAACAACGCAGCAGCAACAACAACAATCATTTTAAGACTGTTCGATCTTATCTGCTCGCGGGCCATTCAACACGTATATCACAAACCCTCGATACCCGCTCTCTTCGTCTTCGATCATGCACACTCCGGGGTGTATCTATCTATATATATATATATGTATATATGTGTGTATGTGTGTATGTATGTATATATACACGTTTTACCTGCAACGTGTATGCCGTGCAGCCCCTAAGGCAGGGGAAGAGAGTACGGATGGAAGGAAGGGGCAGGGGGGAGGAACGAGGATGGAGCACGAGAGAGAGAGAGAGTAGGAGGGGGGCTAGGAGCAGAACGCATGTGGCAGAACCAGACTGGCAGATCGGGCGGGTAGACCCTAACAAGCGGGTCGGGAAGGCGAGCCCAGGCGGCCAGGTCGAGCAGGCGGGTTGCTGAAGCGCGCGTTCTGCATGAACCGCGAGGATGTCTCGAGCGATAGCGCGATTCAAGTAAATCTTGACAGGGCAGAGCGAAATCGTGATTTCTGAATGTCGAGGGCGGCGTCTGAATAAACTCCAAAGAAAGCCCACGCGAGAGCGCGATGTCTGCATAAATTGCGAGGACGTCCCGCAAGAGAGCGCAATTTGCGAATAAACTGTGAGGAAGTACCAGGCGGAAGCCGTTGTTGTTGTAACTCGGGGGCCAAGGGCCCAATTCTGAGACCGAAGACTTTCCCTAATCAAAAACAATGTGCGAGCCCCGGGGAAGACACTTCAATTGAAACAAAGAATGTGCCCTGGAGGGAGGGGTCAACAATAATCATTTTTCAATAGTGAAGGTTCAACCACAACAAAGCAAACAACCCCACTTCAGCCACGCACCGGGGGACAATGAATGACCGTCCGGCCCCCTCATTCTGATACATACACTTATATACACACGACTGTCTCTCTCTCTCTCTCTGTGTATATGTGCCTACATACAGGTATATGAATATCTAGCTCTCGCTCTCTCTCTGCCCCTCTCTTTCTCGCTCTGTGTTTCTTCACCTCGATTCACCCTCATCTTCCAATGATTGATCCTTGCGTCGCCCGCCAATGGCGTGCGTAGTTGCATTTAAATGCGACGGCGAGAAGCAATGGTATACGCACAGCATGCGCAGCACGTGTCGCCAACACTGCCAATATTGAAACAAAAATGCGAAAAAGGGCATACCCAATTACTGGACTCCACCTCCCTCCTGCTGCTAGAAGGCCAAAAATTTAAGAGGACAGAGCCACCAACTTTTGAAAATCCGCGCGGATTTCCTGGGACGTCACTGGTCCCCCCCCCCCGCACCCCTTCCCAGCCGTGCGGGGGCTCGCCGGGAACGGCGCCCGAAGCGCCGCCAGGGGTGCGGGAGGGGGAGGGTGGCCCCGCGCCGACCGACCCAAGACATCCGCGAGGATATCCGAAGGTTTGCGCGTTGCCTGGAGGCCGCGTAATGGGGGGGCGATGCATAGGTGGGGCAACGAGGACTGCCGAAAAGGAGCCCCATAGGGCCGCCAAAGGCGCCCTTTAGGGTCCCGAATGGGGCATTCAGGGCCTGAAAAGGGCACCTTTTCTTCCCCTCCCCTCCTGCTCCTGCTCCTGCTCCTGCCCCTGCTCCTCCTCCTCCTCCTCCTCCTCCTCCTCCTGCTCCTCCTCCTCCTCCCCTCCTCCTCCTCCTCCTCCTCCTCCTCCTCCTCCTCCTCCTCCTCCTGCTCCTCCTGCTCCTCCTGCCTCCTCCTCCTCCTCCCCTCCTCCTCCTCCTCCTCCTCCTCCTCCTCCTCCTCTCCTCCCCCTCCCCCTCCACCTCCTCCTCCTCCTCCTCCTGCTCCTCATCCTCCTCCTCCTCCTCCACCTCCTCCTGCTCCTCCTCCTCCCTCCTCCTCCTCCTCTCTCCTCTCCTCCCTCCTCCTCCTCATCCTCCTCCTCCACCTCCTCCTCCTCCTCCTCCTCCTCCTCCTCCTCTTCCTCCTCCTCCTCCCCTCCTCCTCCCTCCTCCTCCCCTCCTCCTCCTCTCTCCTCCCCTCCTCCTCCTCCTCCTCATCCTCCTCCTCCTCCTCCTCCTCCCCCTCCTCGCCCAAGTCATAATCGAAGCAAGACCACTACAACGTGGGTGAGGAACATGATCTCCTTCGCCGAAGGCCCCGGGTCCCGTGGAGATGCCCCGGCCCAAGATCACTCCGAGGCGGATCGAGAGCCCCAGCACAGAGAGCAGAAGGGTACCCCTCCGAGGCTAGGGCTGCTCGTAATCTTCTTCTCCTCCTTCTCCTCCTCCTCCTCCACCTCCTCGTCGTCCTCCTCATCCTACTCGTCCTCCTCCTCCTACACGTCCTCCTCCTCCGGCTGCGGCTAGGCTCCGAACTGGACAGTCAGGCTGCTACCATAAGGAACGTCAGATGAGGAGCGAAGCACTTTTTTGGCTGCAGGGCCCGTTGGTGCACGAGGCGCGCCAGAGGAGCAGCCATGGACGGACCTGAGGAGTACACTGGAGTCCACTGGAGGCCAGTCCACAAGAAACCTTCCACCAGAAACCCAACCCTGAGACCCCAGGACGCCCATAGGTTACTAATGTGGGAACGTCACGCACTCCATAGCCCTCGAAACCAAAGAAACCCAGGGCACCCTGGAGGCAAGAAGGGTGTTTCTTGGCATGGGCCTCGACTCTATCGAACGTCCCTTTCCGAACCCGAACTGTTCTTTCTGTCCGCGTCTTGGCTGTATAACGTTCTGGGGCTCACCCATTGCTGCTGCTGCGCCTTGCTTGCGGTCCACCCCCCTCCCTCCCTCCCGCCCGGAGCACCTGCCGCCCGCACGGGCCCTCGGGCGCGCGCGGGCGCGCGGCGTCGCGGCCTCGCGGTCGCAGGCTGCGCACGAGGCCTGACTGCCGCTCACGCGCGGGGCGCGCGGCAGAGCCGGGATTCTGGGCTGCACCCTTGTCGTCAGTGTACGCCTACAAGGAGGCGACGGAGCACGCGCGCCGCTGTGCCTTGGCACGTCCGGCCGCGCGCGTGCGGGAGGGGCTGATCCCGCCCGGGGCTCACGCCACGCGAGGCTCACTCCAGGGAGTTTGCCTCGGCGTATTTCAGCCCGGTCTCGACCTCGCCCTTCAGCTGCTCTTTCACCTCTGCCAGGCGCTTCGTCTCGTGCTCGTTGAGCTCCCCGAGCGGAAGCACCTTCTCGATGCCCTTGGGGCCGAGCACCACCTTCTGAGCGAAGTAGGGGATGTCCGTGACGGTGGAGGCACAATAAGCGCACTCCGTACGCTTCCTCCCGGAGAGGCCCGAGAGGATCGCGGAGCCGAACCGGGCCCCCGCGTACGCCATGGAGAGCGTGGCGCTGCCCTTCCCGTTCTTCGCGTTCACGACGTCGGTACCGGCGTCCTGCACGTGCTTGTCCATGTCTGGCACCTTCTCGGCTGGCAGCAACTTCCCCGCCTTATCCTGCGAAAACAAAGGCAGGATGGTCGTGCCAGCGTGGCCACCGATGACCGGCACGCTGATGAAGTTCGGGTTCTTGCCTGTCTCCTCGCCCACAAACTTGTTGGCGCGCACGACGTCCAGCGTCGTGACGCCAATGATCTTCATGGGGTCCAGGCCCTTCTTCTTGTAGAGCTCCGCCATGGCGGGCACGATGGAGTTGACGGGGTTGACAATCATCGCCAAGACGGCTTCGGGGCAGTACTTGGCGCAGGCCTCCACAATGCCCTTCGCGATGTCCGCGTTCACCTTGAAGAGGTCGTCGCGGGTCTGCCCCGGCTTGCGCGGCAAGCCTGCAGGGATGAGCACCAGATTGCACCCGGTGAGGGCCTCCTCCATGAACTTGACTGGGGGCTGGCCGACTTCCCCGATGTATCCCTTCACGGTGCACTTCCTCTCCAAGTGCACCAGATCCTGCGCCACGCCGGCTGGCGGCATCGGGGAGATGTTCAGGTCGTAGATACAGAGCTCCCCCACGTTCCTGTCCATCGCCATCAGCATTGCCAGTGGCTGCCCAATCCCTCCGCAGCCGCCGCAGACGCAGACCTTGAAGCTCGCAGGGGGCTTGCTCTCCTTGGGCTTGGCCTTGACCTTGTACTTCGGCTCCGCCGTGGCCTTGGCCTTCACCTTTGCCTTGGCTTTGGCCTTTGGCTCGGCCTCCTTCGCAGAGGCCTTGGCCTTCGCCTTCGCCTTGGTCTTGGCCTTCGGCTCGGCCTCGGCCTTGGCCTTGGCCTTCTTCGCCCTCATTGCGGGCTTGCAGGTCTCCCAGTAGGCCTCGACCTCCTTCTTCTTATACTTCCCCTTGTAGAACTGACTCAGCTCGTCCCAAGTGTACGCAATGCCGTCCTCAGGGTCCACGCGCTTCTCTGCCATCGCGGGAGAGAGCACGGAACGGTGGCGATTGACGGCGCGGCGCGCGGTAGGAACGGACTGCGGGTTGTGATAAGCCGCCCAGCTGCACAGCAGAAGCTGAAAAGGCTTGAGCCAACAAATGGTTACGGGCACGGACCTTCGACGTCGTAATGTTCTCATAACGAAGACCGCTGAAGCTGGCCTTTTAACGCAGGTCGTTTGTTGACGGCCTGGGGCCCCAGTAAGTGCCCCAGAGGCCAAAAATTCGCACCAGTGTCGTTGCACAACGGGGGGGGTCTGGGGAAGATGAACTTCTCGCTGGTGGTCATCATCCTCCTCCACCTCTTTGCAGGCCAAATGACTAGGGATACCCGGGACGGGGGGTTTTCCCAGGACTCCGAAGGAAAAACGGGTAAGAGAACAGCCTGCAAAGGAGCAAATGAACAAGTGGCGAATTCCACCAGCCCTGCCTGAGAGACGGGTGTGCAGTGGTGGGGCTCGAATTTGCCTGACGGGGCCATCAGATAACTGGCGGGGCCAAATCTGAAAATTGACGCGAATCTTCGAAAACATACCATGCAGAAACTAAAAAGACAAACCATGCACTGGGATGGGCAGGAAAACATAGACAAGCCCGAGATTCAGCGAACTCGACTTGCACGCTTCCCCGACCCTGCGCGCAGCCCGTTTCAAAGAACCCTTTCCCCCCGAATGTATCGATCCCCTTCGGGCGACGCGCAATCTACATACGATTCAGCTTCATCTTTCATTATGAATGCGGAATCATACCGTCCCAACTAAGCTGCCCCCCCCATCCCTGACATCTAAAAAGATGCGCGCGCACCGATTGTCCAACCATCCCTTGCAAAAGAAGGGGTGAAGTGCGCACGCGCTCGTCGTCGCGCGCATGCGTTTTTTTTGTGTCAAAGAACGGTTCGTACGGATTTCAATAGCGACCGTTCCGAACATGGAACTTGATGCTTCAAAAAATAAGCGCCTGCGCTCTCGCGAAAATTCTTCCAAAGGTATCATGTCTCGAACTGCTAAAACATAGCATGCTCAACACATGCGACCAAGCATTTCCCTCGCGCCCACGCGCCGAAATCATTCGAATGCCTTTGCGTACGTGCTGGGAGGTGGTTGGGGGGGGGGGGCACGATCCCTGTCAAACAATGCCACGCGGGCCACTTCCGCCCGTCGGTCGCGCGAGCATGTCGGAATCCTTCCAAGACCTTCGCCGCCGACGCGTGGACACTATCATCGCCATCGGCGTGATCAGCATCGGCGCCGTCATAGGCCTTGCCGTCGTCATCGTCATCGTCGCCACCAGCATCGCTACTATCATCATCGTGTCTGCCGTTGTCGACGTCGCCATGAGACCGCGCCCGCCCGAGTCACCGACTCACACCGGCCCGCGCGCCAGCGCGGCCTCAGAAACGCGCTGAGATGTCCACAGCGGTCAGCGCTACCGCAGCCGCGTCGATCGCGCCAGATTACCTGGCCGCTCTGCGCGCGAGCATGGCGCGCTGGCGCGGCCGCACCGATGCACCAGCCAGCGCTAAGCAGCGATCGCAATCGCCGCCGCATGGGTTTTGCAAACCAAACAGCGGGTGGGTGGCTGGGATGATTGCGCGAGAATGGAAAGTGGCCGCGCGCGAAAAAAACAAAGTCAACTGCGTCACATCTATTCGGTTGTCTAAAAGAGTAGTAGGATGTCCTACCCCCAGAACTAATGTGCCACCTTTTTCGCATAGAAATGGCCACACGATTCTGTCCCATCGCCCATCCGAAATATGAACTAAGATCAGCCCGGCCAAGCCGGTATCGCCCCCTGCCCCTCTGCAAAATATGCGCGCACACCCGCTTATCAAAATTCACCTGTGTAAAGGAATCCATATCATCAAATGAGACGAGTGCACACGCGCGCGTCGTCGCGCGCGCATGCCGCAATCATTCAAAAACTGTAGGTGTCGTCGGGTTTCCAAAACCGGGCGCCACGAAAACATTCAAAAACACATGGCGGGCTAGTGCGAATCATGTAGACAAGCATTCACTTTCAACATTTTCATATCATGCTACCTTACGGGCCTCTCAAGCGCACGTGGCAGAATCGTTCAAACGCTATTGCGCGCGTGCTTTCGCAAGGATCCTTTGCAAAAAAAACGGGACGAAGCGCACGCGCGCGCGTCGTCGCGCGCGCATGTGGGAATCATTCAAAAGCCCTAGACTTCGTAAAGATTTCAAAATCGAGTGCCCCGCAAACACGTAAAAACCACATGGTCTTGCAACAACAATTATCAAACAAAAACAAAAAAAAAAACTGCGCTCGCGCTCCTGCGAACCCGTGCAAAAAAATATGTCGTTACATATTGATTACAACTTGGCCAAACGGGCCCCATCGTTCCGCGCGCCGAAATCATTCGAAGGCCCTTGCGCGCGTGCTGGATGGGGGGCGCGACCTGTGTAGAACAATACCATGCCGGCCACTCTCGCGCGTCGGCCGCGCGCGCATGTTGAAGTTCCTCCGGAACCTGCATCGGCGACGCAAGGGCGCCGTCATCGTCGTCGGTGTGATCAGCATGGGCGCTGTCACTGGCCTTGCCGTCGTCGTTATCATCATCGCCACCATCATATCTACCACCATCATCGCGTCTACCGTTGTCGACGTTGCCATGCTACCGCGACCGCCCAACTCGCCGACTCACACTGAGGGGCCGCTGGGAAGTTCCCAGCGGCCAGCGCCACCGCAGCCGCGTCGACGGCGCCAAACTATCTGGCCGCTGCGCGCGCGAGCATGCGCGGGCCAGCGCGGCCGCAGAAATGCACCCGCCAAACCCAAGCATTCACGCAATCGCCGCCGCATGGGTTTTGCAGACCAAACAGCGGGCGGGCGGGTGCGATGGTTACGCGATCAGTGGAATGGACAACTAAATCACTGCGAACAGCGAATTAATTGCACCACGTAGGTTTTTCTTAATAGATTATGTGAAGACGGACCCCCCTGGACTTAACGGGTCACCTTTTCGTATTGTAGCTTGCAAACGATTCTGCCCCATCGCCCATCCGAAATATGAACTCAGATCATCCCAGCTACACTGGCGACGGTTCCCCCTCTCACCCTCTGCAAAATATTATGCAAGCGCACTCGTTTATCAAAAACCAAAAGTTTCCAATAACCCATTGCAGCAAATGTGACGAAATGCACAAGCGCGCGTCGTCGCGGGCGCATGCCAGAATCACTCAAGAACTCTCGGTGCATTAAAAATTTTGTAATCGAGCGCCACGAACACACATCAAAACACGTAGTATCGCAACAAGAATTTGCACAAAACCAAAACAATTGCGATCGGGCTATTGCAAATTAGAAAACCTCGGATTTTCAACATGTTCATAACATATTACCACACGGGGCTCTCGCGCGCGCATTTCGGAATCGCTCGACAGCCCTTGGGCGAGTACTGTCGCAATAATCCTTTTGCAACAAATAAAACGAAATGCACGCGAGCGCGTCGTCGCGCGCGCATGCCGAAATCAGCATCAAACCTTAGGTTTCGCAAGGATTTCAAAATCGAGCGTCCCGAAACATCGAACATATGAGTCTGCAACAAGAAATGTAACACAAAACTGGCGGTCGGGCGATTGCAATATATTTTGAAAACCAGCTGCTGTTCAAAATGAGCATAGCTTGCTCCCACACGGGCCTCTCGCGCATGCGTGCCGGAATCGCTCGAAAGCCCTTGCGCGCGTGCTGTCGCAAAAACCCCTTGCAACGCATGGGACGAAGTGTGCGCGCGCATCGTCGCTCGCGCATGCCGGTATACTTCAACACTTTGAGTTTCGTAAGGATGTCAAAATCGAGCGCCCCGAAAACATAAAAAACATGGTTTTGCAGCATACGTTTTAAAAATGCCTGCGCTCGCGCCCCTGCGAATTCTCGAGGAAGCCATGGGTTTGTCGCGTTCCATTGAATTTGGGCAAACGGGCCCCTCGCGCCGCACGTCGAAATCAGTCGAACGCCCTTGCACGCGTGATGGGGGAGGTACGATCCGTGTCACATGATACCAGTGGGGCCACTCGCGTGTCGGCCGCGCGCGCATGTCGAGCTCCCTCCAAAACCTTCATCACCGACGCGAGGGCGCCGTCATCGTCATCGGCGTGATCAGCATCGGCGCCGTCACTGGCCTTACAGCCGTCGTTGTCTTCTTCGTCACCAGCCCCGCTACCATCATCATCGCGTCTACCGTTGCCGACGCTGCCATGATACCGCGCCCGCCCAAGTCCCCGACTCGCAAGGATTCCAAGCAGCCTCCAGGAGCCTCCCAAGTACTCTTCTGGAGCACACGTAAAACAGCCCCCATGCAACTGAGGGGGTCACCCCCCACCCGCCCCTCTCCCCGTCCGACCCCGGCCCCCGACATAGCCGCTGAACAACCCAAGGGAGCCCCAAGGCTGCCGAAAAAGCCCGACCCCAGGAGGGGCCCAAGAACGGGAGCCCGAAGCGACAAGTCGAGCTTGACGAGGCCCCCGAGAAACTCAAGAGGCCCCAAGAAGCTCCAAGAGGGCCACAAACCGGCCCCCCCCCCCCACACACAACCGAAGCCGCCCCCGAAAGGCCTCCAAGGGGTGCTCCATACCCATTTCTCCTCCTCCTCCTTGTCCCGTCTCCCTCCTCTCTCTTCCTTCCTCATCATCCGCTTCCGTCCTCATGTGTGAATATGCGTCCTCCTCCTCCTCTTCCTCCTCCTCCTCCTCGAACTCCTCCACCCCCTCTCCCTCCTCCTCCCCGCCCTCCTTCTCCTGCTCTTTCTCCTCCTGCTCCTCCCTCGTTGTCCCTCACTTTTCCCCCTTCGGACATAGCGCAAGCCGTGATTACGCCAACACGTTGGGAACGCCGACGCGACTATCCACCACTGTGCCCCCTGGCACGCTGAGGCGTGCTAGAATGCCACGAGTTGCCTGGCGAGGTTTCTGACATCTTCTGAAGAACCCAGACAGCTCAGCACGCTTCCAACCTGAAGCCGGCGCCACAATACAACTAATGGGCCCCAAAACAGCCCAGGAGGGTTCCTAAACGGCCCGAAAGAAATCCAAGATCCCCGCTCGGCCCGATGGAGTTCTCGGACGGCCCACAAATTCCACCACAAAGAATTTATGGTCTTGCGCGCACACATGCAATCAAGGCCACGGGAACAATCGAAAAAC